CTGACCAGCTGGGAGGCCACCTCATTTGTGGCCACTACAGTCTGTGCTGGTGGGGCCAGCATCCCTCAGTGGGGCACAGTGCTGACCAGCGGCATCCTGAGTGCCCAGCAGGGAGAAGGAACTGGGACGCACCCCCTGGGCCCAGTGCCCACAGGGAAGGCCAGTCAGGCAGTGAGGGCCGTGTCCTCAGCCTGGGGGACATGGATCCAGGCATGTCCCCCATGTGGCACTATACACCTCCTCCCAGCTCAGCATCTGGGCTGTCTCAGCCAAGCCTGTGAGGACTCGGTGCCCTGTGTCCATGGTGGGAGAGCCCGGCACCAGCACCTCCCATCAGGCCGCGGGGCAACCCAGCACCAGCACCTCCCATCAGGCCGCGGGGCAGCCCTGCCAAGAGCTTGGTACCCCCAGGGCAGGAGGACGTTTGTGGTCCTTGCTTGTTACTAGCTTTGTAATTAGGTTCAACTTTTCCAGTTCCAGAGTCACGGTTTGACCGAGATTCCGGAGAAAGTGAAGAAGCAGAAGAAGAAGTGGGCGAGGGGACGCCGCAAAGCAGTGCACTGACAGAGGGTGACTACGTGCCGGACTCCCCCGCCCTGTCACCCATTGAGCTCAAGCAGGAGCTGCCCAAGTACCTGCCGGCCCTGCAGGTCAGGCCCTCCCTCACCCCTGCAGGTCAGGCCCTCCCCCACCCCTGTAGGTCAGGCACTCCCTCAACCCTGCAGGTCAGGCCCTCCCTCACCCCTGCAGATCAGGCCCTCCCCTACCCCTGCAGATCAGGCCCTCCCTCACCCCTGCAGATCAGGCCCTCCCCCACCCCTGCAGGTCAGGCCCTCCCAAAGCCACTGGGCCGCTATCCGCATTGGCAGTCGGAGTTAGCACAGGCAGGCTCTGTCTGCTGCTTATTAGCACAGGCTGAGCAAAACCTGGCCCCCGCATTGGCATCTGTTGCCTCAAGGTGGCTGGACCCACCTGGGGAGAGAGGGTCAGGCATGGCTGCCAGACCCCTATGCCTCCCAGTCCTGCCTCCTCCTCTTGCTGGACGGCACTGGGTGGGCAGCGAGGTGCTGCAGGGCTGCTCTGGGGTGTGGAAGCGGAAGGAGACAGCCTGGGCCTAGAGCCACTCTGCTGTCACTGCTGCTGCCGCCTCTGCGGTGGAGACCAGTGCTCTCCTCTTGGCCCCTGCGTGGGTGAGTTACATGGGCACCAAGGCCTCGTTACTGGCGTAATGAGGGATTGGTGGCAGCTGCTGGAGTCAGTGTAGATATATGTAGCCATAAGCTTTTCGTTTGGGCAAGTATCGGTAAGGGCAAGATACTGCTGGGAGTGATTTGGAAGGGACAGGCCTGAGAGGGTGCCGGTGGCCTCGGCGGCCTGGGAGGCGTGCGGGGGCTTGGTCTCTTCCTTGGCGCCTGTGGGTGGAGAGGTTCCCTCTGGCATGTGTAGCCCGTCTACTGCCCAACGCCTGTGAGCGCCTCGCCCGTACTGCCCCTGAGCACAGGCCACGAGGTCCAGCCCTGGTCGGCAGCCCCAAAGTCCACCCAGGGGAAATGCCATGACGTGGGGCATCGTGCTGTGCTGTGGCAAGTAGTGCCCGTCCTGTGTCCTCCTGGGACAAGCAGGTACACACCCAGTTTGACAGAGAGACTCGGGACGGGCTTTATTTGGAGACAGCGTCTGGCTCTATCGCCGGCTGAGGTGAAGTGGCTGGATCGTGGCTCACTGCAGCCTCAACTTCCCAGGCTCACACAGTGCTCTCATCTTAGCCTTCTGAGTAGCTGGAACTATAGGCTCAAGCCACCATGCTTGGCTAATTTTATTTTGTTTTGCAGAAAACAGTGTCTTACCATGTTGGTCAGGCTGGTCTTGAACTCCTGGGCCTCCCAAAGTGCTGGGATTACAGGCCTGAGCCCTCACACCCAGCCAGATGGCCTTTTGTTCACACTGATTTTGTTTCATAATAAAAGGCCACATGGTCTTGAAACAAACATTGAAAGAACTGAGCTGCTGCCGGCCCCACCCCCGCCCTTCCCAAGGCTATGCCTTGCACCCACCCTGTGCCAGGTGTGCTGTGCCCGTGGACACGGCCTCCCTCTCTCCAGCTGACAAGGCCACTGAGACCTCACATAGGTGCTTCCTCCCCAGGGCTGCCGGAGCGTGGAGGAGTTCCAGTGCTTGAACAGGATTGAGGAGGGCACCTATGGAGTGGTCTACAGAGCAAAAGACAAGAAAACAGGTGGGCAGAGTCCCGGCTCACCCCACCAGGGCAAGGGGAAGTGGGGCAGGGCCTGGCTGTCCCAGGACCTGCAGGCTGCACCAGGTCTCGCCTCATCTGAGCAGCTGCTTGAGGTCAGACCCTTCAGCACCTCTAGAAGCCAGAGGTCAGCCTGGCCCTGGGACCCTGCTGCTCCTTGGCAATAGCCGGTGGCCCGCCCCACAGGGCCGAAGCCAAGGCCGGGGAGCGGTCTGTGCCAGCGCGGGTCTGAAGGGTTCTCTGCCTTGTGCCTGTTCATGTTCCCAGTGTCCCGCCCGAGCAGGGGTGTGAGCCGGGGACTCCCCAGCACCTGAGGCTGGCTCCGTTGGCGAAGCTGCGTGGCTCCCAAGTGGCTGTGGATGTCTGTGGTGTGTGGAGAGTGGGGAAGCGTGTCATAGGTGCTGCCAAGACCCTGGCTGGGGCATTCTGGTGCCTGCCTGCCCCTGTCCAGAACCAGCCCTTCCTCCGTGTAATGCTAGCGCTTTGGGCACGGCCTGCAGTCCCCGCTGAATGAGGCTGCTGTTGGTACTGTGATTTTGAGAACACCCGTCAGTGCCATCTGTGTGTTCTTCACAGACGAAATTGTGGCTCTAAAGCGGCTAAAAATGGAGAAGGAGAAGGAGGGTTTCCCTATCACGTCGCTGAGGGAGATCAACACCATCCTCAAGGCCCAGCACCCCAACATCGTCACCGTTAGAGTGAGCAGGGCCCCGCCGCGCCGGCCCCGGGTGGAGGCTGTTCCAAGGGGCCAGGGCCGTCCTGTTCTGAGGGGCTCCCCTGTGCTTAGCAGAGTCCTTCACAGACCACACAGAAGCCGGCATTCGCCTCCCGGTGGCACCGGAGGTCCTTACTGTCCCCCAGCATCTGCATCCGGGTTCAGGTGGCGGTGGGGTGGGTGGGGCCTGGCGGCGCCCAGCACACTCAGAGCCGTGCCCTGCAGGAGATCGTGGTGGGCAGCAACATGGACAAAATCTACATCGTGATGAACTACGTGGAGCACGACCTCAAGAGCCTGATGGAGACCATGAAGCAGCCCTTCCTGCCAGGTACGGCCGCGCCGGGGCTCTCGGCGCACGGGCGGAGCGGGGTCCCGGTCGCCCCTCGGCGACGCTGCTGCACGGTGCGTGCCAGGCCTCTGTTGCTGCTGAGGCAAGTGAGCCAGCCACCCCGAGGGCCCCAGGCGGGGCGGCCAGGTCCACACGCGTGGCTGTCCCCCCAGGGGAGGTGAAGACCCTGATGATCCAGCTGCTGCGGGGGGTGAAGCACCTGCACGACAACTGGATCCTGCACCGCGACCTCAAGACGTCCAACCTGCTGCTCAGCCACGCCGGCATCCTCAAGGTGAGCCCCGCCCGGGCGCTGCCCAGGGCCACCTGCCGGGCCCGCTCACAGCCACCCTTCTGTCCTCGCAGGTAGGGGACTTCGGGCTGGCACGGGAGTACGGATCCCCGCTGAAGGCGTACACCCCGGTGGTGGTGACCCTGTGGTACCGTGCGCCGGAGCTGCTGCTGGGTGCAAAGGTGAGTCGGGGGCGTCTGAGCGTCTCCCTCCCCCCCGACAGCCTCCTGGCTTGGCAGGCCCTGGCCCTCCTGAGCCTCTCCTCGGCCCGTAGGAATACTCCACGGCCGTGGACATGTGGTCGGTGGGCTGCATCTTCGGGGAGCTGCTGACGCAGAAGCCGCTGTTCCCTGGGAAGTCGGAAATCGACCAGATCAACAAAGTGTTCAAGGTGGGCCTGGGGCCGGCACGGTCTCTGTGGCACAGGTCCCCTGCTGCAGGCGCCCTGCGGGGTTGTGGAGGAGCCGTGGGAATGCCACTAGGGGGCCACCGAGAGGTGTCCTGGTGGCTTGTCTTCTCTGCCAGGACACGGGTGCCAACACCGTGGGTCACTTGGTGTGGCCGTTGAAACGCTTCTGTCTTTTAGGACCTGGGAACCCCCAGTGAGAAAATCTGGCCCGGCTACAACGACCTCCCGGCAGTGAAGAAGATGACCTTCAGCGAGTACCCTTACAACAACCTCCGCAAACGCTTCGGGGCCCTGCTGTCTGACCAGGGCTTTGACCTCATGAACAAGTGAGTCCCTGTGTAGCCGGGTGGCCACAGAGGCCACGAGCCACAGCACTGGCTTCCCGGTCCCAAGCCCACCTGCTGGCTCGCCGCCTTCCAGAACTGTCTGGTGCTTGGCCCCCCATGCCCTGAGCCCATCCCACACAGCCCATCTTTGGGGAACCCAGCGGGGCACATGAGCACCTCCCGGGCCTCTGGCCCTCTCCCCACAGGTTCCTGACCTACTTCCCGGGGAGGAGGATCAGCGCCGAGGACGGCCTGAAGCACGAGTATTTCCGAGAGACCCCCCTCCCCATCGACCCCTCCATGTTCCCCACGTGGCCCGCCAAGAGTGAGCAGCAGCGTGTGAAGCGGGGCACCAGCCCGAGGCCCCCTGAGGGAGGCCTGGGCTACAGCCAGCTGGTGAGGGGTCTGGCGGGTGGGGCGTGCCCACGGGGGTGCTGGCTTGGGCACGGTCCTCACGGTAGCCGACTCATGTCCAGGGCGACGATGACCTGAAGGAGACAGGCTTCCACCTTACCACCACGAACCAGGGGGCCTCGGCCGCGGGCCCTGGCTTCAGCCTCAAGTTCTGAGGGTCAGAGTGGACCCCAAGTCATGGGGAGAACTCAGCGGGGACCACAAGCACAGCTTCTGCAGCTGGAGCTGCCATGAGTCTCAGGACTTCATCTTACTGTGTGTTCCGTGTTTTATTTTGGTTTGTAAATTTGTAGAATTAAATCATTTTCCTTGTTGTGGAGGAAAGAGCTGTGTTTTCAGGTCTACTTGACTTGCACCCAGGGAGGAGCGGGGGCACGTCTGAGGGTCCCCCACTATACCGTCTCCCACTCTCGACACACATCGGGCTCTCTGGGCCGTGGTTTTGACGGTGCTGGTGGGGGCAGGGTCAGTTGTGGAATCTTCGGAGCTGGAGACCCGTGTCCGTGTTGGGATGAGCAGTGTCTTCCTGCCCCGACTCGGGTGTCCAGACCAGCCGTCCACGCAGGCCCTGGCCCCAGCCCCAGCCCCAGCCCAGGTGCGCCGGCAGCTTCAGCAGGTTTTTATACGAGGTGGTTACAAGTGTTAAAATGTATTAAAAGGATTCTTGGAGGAAAGCTGCTGTGTCCTTTCAGTGGCCTGGGACCATGTCTGGGAGGGGAGTCGCAGGCCCCCCGGGCTCTAGCGGGACACGAGGGGCGCTCCTACCTCTCAGGGCCTCTGCTCCAGCAAGGTGGTCCCCTGGCCCCTACTTGCCCTGGCAGCCTGTGCCAGTCCTACCAACCCCAGCCATACCCACTTGCAGAGGATCCCGGAGGCCCATCTCGCCTCCTTCAGGAAGCCCCCGTTGCCTCCCGCCCCCGTCTCTGAGCAAGTCCTAGACAGACCCAGGCTTCCTGGGCTACCCCATGAGCTGCCCCTGGCACTGGGGCCTTCGCTCGTCCCACTTTCCCAGGAGCCACCTCGGCAAAGCCCATGCCATCCTGGGCTGTACCTGTTGTCTGCTATGTGCGGAAGCAGGGGGTCTCTGGTCCTGAGGACGCCCACCTCCGGAGGGTCAGGGGCCAGGGTGTGTCCACCTGCCCAGACTGGCTGCCACCACCCTCCCAAGAAAGAGCAGGAGACATCAGGGAGAAAGTGCTTTATCAGCCGTGCTCCACGTGGGCTCAGCCCCGCACTCGGACTCGCCAGGAGTAGGTGCTCAGCACGCGCTGCTGCCTGCGGACCACACAGGTGTAGGTGCCCTCGTTGACGGCGTTGGCAATGATGCTCAGGTGCGCCTCGCCCAGGGCCAGGTAGCCGGGGTAGGAGAACTCCAGTGGCTCCTGGTCCTTGTACCAGCTGAGGGAGGGGGGTGCCCCTGTAGGCTCAGCCCCCGCTGCTGCCTGGGCCCCCACCCCAAGGACCACCAGGCTCCCCACTCACTACACTTTCCCCTTCTTGTGGAGAATCTTCTGGCCACAGCGGAAGGTCACGTTCCTGCCCTCAGGCACCAACCTGGTTTTGGTCCTGGGGGGCGGTGGGGTGGCGGCCACCGTGGGGAAGGGGAATTCTGCTCGGGTTGGGGGAAGAGCCCCGTCAGCGTCCCCCCAGCCCAGGCCATGGCCAAGACCACGCAGCCCTGTCCCGGCCTTGGGCATCACCGTAGCAGAAGTCGCAGCTGCTGGGGCAGAGCCTCTTCATGAGCCGCCGGCGAGCGTCGCAGAAGCCCCTCCGCGCCCAGGACGTGCACACGAACAGCCGGTCCAGGCATCCTGTCGGGAGCGTGGGGAGCTCGGCCTGGCTCAGGACCGCCCGGTCCCCCCCTCCCGCCCGACAAAGGGACTCACCATAGAGCCGGTGCAGCCCCCACAGCTCGTCCTGCGACAGCGCCTTCCAGCCGCGCAGCGTGGCGTTCAGGTGCATGAGCGCCCGGCCGTGCTGTGAGTGCATCAGGCCCAGCGCGTGGCCGATCTCGTGGGCCGCCACGTGCACCAGGTCAGTGAGCCACACGCCTGCGGGCCCCCGCCGGTCAGCGCCTGGGAGCCCCAAGCCCAGCCCCGCCGCCCGTGGGCCGGCTCCCCGAGGCCCGGCACGTCTGCTGGAGCGCAGCCGCGGAGCCACCCTCGGCCGCAGCCACGGAAAGATAAGAATGTTCTGGGCCCAGGCGGTGAGCTCGGCCCCCAGGAATGCAGCTCCAGCTACCGCTCCAGCAGCGCAGGGGGATGGGAAGGGGAGTTCGGGGCTGCCGGGACTAGGGGCTCCCACGGGCTCTCCTCCTTGCCTGCTTGACCCCAGGAGCAGCCACCACCCCGGAAAGTCCCTCCTGCCGTAGGCCCCAAAGCCCGCCCGCCCGCTGCAGCCCCCCGTGCTGCGGGGGAGAGGCCCCCGGAGGCCAGCCTGGAGGGTCACCTTTCTTCCAGCTGTAGCGCGTGGGGCCCAGGACCCAGTACTCGCTGTCGTCGAAGTGGATGCCGCCGTGCGGGGGGAAGAAGGCGTGGGCCAGCTCCCCGGTGGGGCCGTCGAAGCAGTGGTGCAGCGTGGAGACCAGGCAGTCCGTGTGGTTGATCGGGTAGAAACCTGCGGGGAGCACCGGGCTGAGAGGCCGGGCGCGCACAGCCGGGCCGGGCTGGGGGCGGGCGCCCACCTATCCGGAGGTCGCTGGGCTGCTCGGGGGCCACCTCGCGAAAGCTGAAGGGGGACACGTCGCTCCACATGCGGAAGGCGGCAGCCAGGGCCCGCCGGGTCTCCCGCGGGCTCAGCAGGTTCCGCGGGAAGGAGAGGATCCTGCCGGGAAGGTGGGCTTAGTGGGGGGCCGGCCGCGCCCCTCCCCCAGGGCCAGGCCACGGCGCACCTGTACGTGAGATTAAAGTGGTCCCAGCGCAGCCTGGCTGGGGTCAGCGTGTAGCGGCGTCTGCGGGGGGGCAGTGAGCCCGGGACGCGGGTGGGGGGGACCCCCGAGAGGCCCAGCGCAGCGGCGTCTCCCTTCAGGGAAGAAGGCGTGAGTGGGAGGCATCGGGGACGGTCCCCAGAGCCAAAAACTGCCCTGCAAAACGGACTGGAAAGAAACGGGGGTGGGGGTGCCCAGGGCTAGGAGCGGGCGTGGCGGGTCCTGTCTGCCTGCGTTTTGGGGTCTCCTATCCCGAGCGCCCGTTGCCCGTCCCTGGGAACGCGGCCCAGTGGAGTGGAAGGGGCTGAACAGGAGGGCGCGGCCTCCCACCCCTCCCAACAACTGGACGCAGCGGCCCTCCGACCTCGGGACGCACATCTGGACCCTCAAACACCCCACAGACCCCGCACACGTCCTGCAGGCGCCTGAATAGACCAGACACTTAGACGGCGAGCCCAACCCGAAACCTGGCCTCCCCGGGCCGCTCACCTGCGCTGCGCTCGCGGCCGGCACCGCCGGGGCCCCCAGCCGGGCCAGCAGCACCAGCGCGGGGAAGAGGCACAGCGCGGCCAGCGCGGCTCCGAGCCGGCGGCTCTCGACGCCCGCCTCCGTGGCCTCCGAGGGGACACGGCCCCCGCGGCCCATGGTGGACTTGCTGTGGGGCTCAGGGCTGCATGGGGCAGCACCGCGCGGGGACCCGGGGCCGTAGAGCCGCCGGGGAGGATCCGGAGGGGAAGCGGCGGCTGGGCGGCTCGGGTTACAGCCCCGTGGGGGGGGGAGATGGGGCGGGAGAGGGGGTAAGGCTGCCCCTGAAGGGAACCAGCTGGCCCGTCCGCTGGCCCAGCCGCCCGCTGCCTCTAGCCGGGGGCATGGGGACCTGAGTCCCATGGCCAGGGGCAGAGGCCTGGGCATGGGCTGCGGGGCGGGGTCCTGGGAGTGGGGGGCGAAGAGGGCCCCAGACAGCCAGGGAAGGGCAGCGCCAGAGCTCCCGCTTCCGAAAGGGCAGCCAGTGGGGGTCCCCAAGCCGGCTGGGCACTGAATGGCCTGGTGGCTTTTTCCCGAACGGATTCCCCAACAATCCCCTGAGCCCTCCATGAGCGGAGTCTCCATCCCGGCCCAGGCCACTGAGCGGGGCCGCAGGGGACGCGCCGCCCGCCTGACAGTGTCCCTGGGAGATGGGAGGGGACGGCAGGATGGGGACGTGGCAGTGAGTACGGGGCGGCGGAGGGGGGCGGAGAGGGGGTGCGTGGGTGGGGAAGGGCCGCAGAGGGTGCCAGGCTGCGGGGTCTCCCGGAGGTCCGGGAAGGGGCGGGCCCTGGCTCGGGAACCCCCGTGGGGGGCAGCACGGGAGGTGGAGGGTGTGCGGCTCCTGAATCCCCCCCCCACAACGCTAGGCCCCAGCAAAGGGGAGAGGGAGACGGGAGGGGGACAGGAAGCCGAGCCAGGCGCCGGGCGTGGAGGTCTGGACCGTTCTGACTGGGGCGCGGGCGGGGAGCGGGTGCGCAGCGGCCCGAAGGCTCGACGGGGCGGCCGGCGTCCAGGCGCGAGCGGCTCTGGACCGGGAACCCAGGCCTGGCACCGCCGTCCCGCGGGGCGGGGGCAGAGGCCAGGGCAGAGGAGCAGGAGGTTCCGAGCCAGACAGGCCTGGGTCCCGTCCCTCCCCGTTTTCCGCGCCGGCCTCGGGCCCAGGGTGACGGCGGCGGCCGCGCCAGCGGGGTCAGCGCCAAGCAGCTGGCGGCGGCCGCGGGCGGTTCTTGGAAAGCGCGAGCCGCTGGGCCCGGCCGGGTGTTCGCTCCGACTCCGCCCCCGCGCCCCGCCCCGCTCGCCCCGCGCCCCGCCCCGCTCGCCCCACGCCCCGCCCCGCTCGCCCCACGCCTCCCCCCACGCCCCCGCCTGCGGGCGCCCTTCCGGGCTCCCGACTCCCAGACTGCCTGGGACGACCCCAAATCCCTCCTGGGCCAGGACCCCACAGAGATTTGGTGTCCTGGGGAGCGCTGGGGTCCCTGGGCCACAGGGCGAGTCCCCGCAGCCGCCCCCAAGACGCGAGAGGGGGGGCCCGGGGGAGTCCCGGCCTTAAGGCCGCAGTCTGCGAAGGAGTCTGGATCTGAGAGCCGGGGGCGGGCGGGGCGGACCCCGAGGCCCGCCCGCGTGTCCCCCAGGGGAGGACCCCAGAGGCGCCCGGCCCCCCAGGCAGACAACGAGGCAGCGTCCGAGAATCTTTTTATAAAACACAGGGCGGGGGCTCGCGGAGGCAGCTCGGGCGCGGCGCGCGGCTCACACGAAGATCTGGATGCGGTCGCGGATGGGCTGGCGGCAGATCGGGCACGCGCTGAGCGCGGCGCCGCAGGGGGCGCATGCGCCGTGTCCGCACTGGAACACGAGGCGGATGTGGCTGTCGATGCAGATGGGGCAGGTGATGCGCTCCTCCATCTGCCGGTAGCGGCTCTGCAGCTCCTCCACCAGCTGGCGCGGCGGGCCGGGGGCGGGGGCTGCGCTCACCACCTCGGAGCCGTCTGCGGGGTGGGGGCGGGTGTGAGCTGGGAGCCCCGGGCGCCCTGGGGCAGCGGGGACCTGGGGCGGAGTGTCATCTGGGACGGGTTGTGATCTGCAGGTGGGTGTGACCCGGAGGCAGCGCTGGGGCCGCTGCGGGCTGGATGTGAATCCCGGGTCTGGGGCTTGAGGTGGCGGGGCGGAGTCAGGGCTGCAGGTGGGTGTGACCTGGGGCCGGTGTGATACGGAGGCGGTGCTGTGGGAGTGTGACCTGGGAGGGACTGATAACCAGCGGGGCTGGGGTGTGGCCCGGGGAGTAGGGTGTCACCTGGAGGTGGCGCTGTGGGCGGGGTGTGATGTGGGCCGGTGAGGTATCAGCCTGGGTGGGGCTGGGGGCGGGGGGGGTGTCTTCGGAGGGTGGGGCGTGGCCTGGGGAAGGGCCGTAAGTGGAAATATGGGTGGGGCCGGGGCTGGAGAGGACCCGGGTCGCCAGCAGGAGCAGGAGGCGCCTTTGGGGCACCGGGCCTCACCCACCTGGGCGCAGTTTCTTGCTGACGACCACCTGGCACCGGATGCACTTCTTCATCCTGCGCGCGCACTCTGCAGAAGGGAGCGCGGGGTGGGCGAGGGCCGCACTGCCCCGACCCCCGACCCCCGACCCCGTACCCTCCACTCTCCACCCTCCACTCACCCTCGCACACGGTGCGGTGCTGGCACGGGGAGAAGAGCACCAGCAGCGCTAGCTCGGAGCACACCAGGCACTCGGCGGCCTCGGGTCCAGGCGCGGCGCCCACGTGCAGGTTCGTCACGGTGTTGGGGGTCCCAAGCGCGTGCCTGGTGCCCGGGGCCGCGCCCCCTCCCGCCTGCCGCTCCCTGCAGGGGGAGGAGGCGGCTCGAGCGGGACCCGGAGGTCGCAGGGGCCCCCGTTTGGCCCCCGTCTCCCGCCGCCCGCGGGCTCACCGGAAGCGCTGGGCGCAGCCCTGCAGGGCCTTGAGCACGCGGCCCTCCGCGGCCAGGTCCAGCGGGCTCCGGCCGCGGTGGTTGGTGTAGCTCACGTCGGCGCCCTCCAGCGCCAGGAAGCAGGCGACCGCCGCGCCCACCGTCAGCTCCGTGCTGCCCGGGAGGCCCGAGGCCTGTAGCTGCGCGGCAGAACAGACGCCGGTGAGGGCGGGCGCCAAAAAGGCCGGAGGGAGGCGTTTTCCCGCACCCGGCAGCCCCGGCAAATAGAAGGCAGGGGCACCCGTTCAGGGAACCCGGGTGGAACAGGCAGGAGGGGCGCCCTGCAGGGTGAGCTGAGACCCTAACCCCGTCCTCTCCCCACCCCAGGAGCACCACCCCGCTTCCCAGGCTGCTCCGGGGTGCAGGCTGAAGGATCACAGAGGACTTGCTGTCCGCTCCACCCCTGGAACGCCCGGCTCCCTGGGCCACCGCTGGAGAGGAAGGTGGACAGTGGCTCAGGCCCCGCCCCCAGCCTGCAGCCAGCGCCACGGCAGCCTCTCCAGCGCCCCGCGTCGCACTTCCTCACCCTGGACAGCAGCTGCAAGGGCCCTGGGTCCCCCCCGGCCCCATCGGCCACCAGGGGTAGCAGCTGCTGACGCTGCAGCGCCACGTGCAGGGCTGTGTCCCCCTCCTCGTCCTCGGCGTTGACACTGCAACCGGCGTCCACCAGCAGCGCCACCAGCCCCACGTGGGCCTGCTGCACCGCCAGGTGCAGGGGGGACTGCAGCTTCCGGTTGCGCACATTCACGTCGCAGCGGCCCTGGGGAGGGGTGGGCACCGGCTCAGCCCAGGGACCTGTGGGCCTCCTGCTCCCACCTTGGGCCGGCCCGCGCCGCGCACCTCCCGGATGAGGATCTGGGCCACCTCGCGGTGGTTGTTGAGGGCTGCCAGGTGCAGCGCCGTGAAGCCATCCTCCTTCTTGGCGTCCACCAGCTGCCGCGCCCGAGCCAGAATCTTCCTGACGGCTCTGTGGGAGCAGGAAGGTCGGTCTGAGACCTGGCGCTGTCCCGGGGCAGCACGGCGGGAGGCGGGCGCCAGCTGCGTGCCGGCCCACACTCACAGTACGTGGCCCTTGAGGGAGGCGTGATGCAGCAGGGTGAAGCCCTGGCTGTTGGTGGCGGTGACGTCGATGCTGGGCATCTCCGTGAGGACTTCGACAATGCCACTGGCGCCAGTGCCCGCCGAGATGGCAGAGTGCAGGGGCGTGTCTGAGTGGGCGTCCTGCCGGGGTGGAGTCACCGGTCAACTTCTGTTTGGGTCAAGGGCCAGGGTATGCAGGGGCTGGCACTCACAGGCAGGTTGACGTCACAGCCGCGCTCGCACAGGGTCCGCACCACCTCCAGGAAGCCCCTCTGCACAGCCACGTGCAGCGCTGTGCTCTGGGTGCTGTTGATGGCATCCACCCGGCACCCAGCGTTCAGGAGCACCCTGGCGGCCTCAGGCTGGTTCCTGGGGGAGAGGAAGTGAGCGGGGGAGGGCGCTGTGCCCCCCGGCCAGACACCCAGGCACAGCCCCCCCAGACCCCTCCCAGGCCTCACCCCAGGGCCGCGTAGTGCAGCGCTGTGCTGCCGTCCTCGTCCGGCAGGTCCACGCCCGCCCTGGCTTGTAGCAGCAGCCGCACCAAGTCCACCTGGCCCAGGTAGGCGGCCACCTGCAGGGCAGTCCTGCCTTGGTTCTTGGCGTCCACCTGCCAGGAGAGCCAGCAGGTGAGTCCCTGGCCCTCGGCCCTCGACCGCGGACTGGCTGGGGCGGGAGGATGGGGCGGGAGCTTGCCTGCTCTGGGCGCCTCCGCAGCAGGTCCAGAGCCCGGGCTGCGTTCCCCAGCGCCACCTCCACCACCAGCCTTCCCGGGTGCTCCGGGTCACTCTTCTGGGCCCGAAGCTTGTCCAGGGCCACGCTCAGTGAGCCTGGGGGCAGGGCTGATGTTAGTGGTGGCCAGGGCGGCCCCACCTCCCGCCAGCCGCGAGCTGGGCCGCACTTTTGTTCTCCCGGGCACGCTCGGCCACGTCCAGGTTGGCATCTTCCTCCGGCCGGTAGGCCACGAGGCAGGAGGGGCTGAAGGTCCACCGCTGACCGCCGACCGCCACACGCAGGTTCCCGTCTCCAAACACTTTCACCACTTTCCCGACGCGGCCCAGGGCCTGGGGGCAGAGGTGGGGGGTCACAGAAGGTTGCAGGTGTGGGGGGCAGCGGCCTAGCGGCGGGGGCGGCGGGGTACTCACGGGGGCCATGTCGTCCGTCCACTCGCCGTGGCCAGCCTGCAGTTGCTTCACTGTGTCAAGGTCGTCGATGACCCGGACCACGTCGCCCACCCAGAAAGAGTGGTGCTGAGCGACAGAGAGGGGCGTGAGGGGCCCCCCAGCTGTGTGTGGCTGGCCAGGCTCAGAGCAGGAGGGCAACCCTCAGAGCTCCACGAGGCAGGCAGGCCTGACTCGGCCCCAGGTCCGACCCCAAGCACCCCCAGAGGCTCCGGCTGGATGAGCCCCAGGTGCCCAAGGTCCAGAGCCACGGGAGTAGCATCCCGGCAGACAGAAGCTCCGGGCCGGTGTGAGGCCGAGGCGCTGGCCCTGGGGAGCTGTACGCTGGCCAACAGTGGGCAGCATGGCCAGGACCCGTGAGCAGCGTGGGCCCGGGGCCCCAGGACTCGGGGTGCAGGACAGGCTCCGCCCCACCTGAGCCCCCTCTGCGGGGAACCCACTCTACAAGCCTGTCTTGTG